GAAAAAAATGGTGAAAAAATCTATGCAAAAGCTGTATATATATACATACATACCTTCACTTGCTTAACAAAGGGAACGGGAACGATGAATTCTCCGACATCCATATCCCCGATAGATCTCGAAAGGCATAGACCTCCGGGCCAACACCGTAGAGGACCAATCTGCAGAATTCCGAGTTTTCCGTAAAAAAAAAAAGTTTTTTTGTTGCTCGCCGATGGAACATAGATTTTTTTAAAAATAAAAGAGAACTTGCCTCCATGCCTCCAACAATGCTTAGCCTACCGACTTCTCCTCCACTAGCAGTCACCCGTTCCCTCCTGGAATCCCGAAACCCGAATTCAGATTACATCTTTGAGTACGAAAACATAAGCAGCGAACGAAAATTCATTCGAGAAATTGAGGTTTTTCGGTGTATTCAGTTCAGAGGTGTATGTATGTATCTATCTATAGGTACATACTCTTCTGTGTTATCTTCAAGCCTGTGATCAACAGTTAGGGTCGAAACCGAACCCCCTTGATTATCCAAGATGCAACGGGAATCTCCAACTGATGCAACAGTCACTGTCCATCCATCTACGATCACGAAAGTGGCAGTTGTTCCAGAAGTTTCTCCTGGGAAGAAGGAATGAGCCCGGGAATTGTCAATTTCGATTCGTTGGGAAAAACAAACGAAATGAAACGAACCGAAAATTTATACATAGATGCTCATACCTCTGCTCTGGAACTCTTTATCAGTCTTCACAAACCCGGCAACTAATGCTCGGGGTAAAGCGTGAAGCCATTCCTCACGGCTAAGCCCACGGGGAATAGCGGTAAGAATGTGGTTTAATAGATTGTCCCGTGAAAATACTGCAGCAGCGTTTCCATTGTGCCCATCGAAAATCTAACGGGGAAGAAACCGGAAGTAAAAATAGTTAGAGACCGAAAGAAATGACGCAGACAGGAAACATTGATCAGACAGTAGTAGTAACCGAGGTTCGATCCTAGAAAATTCAATTATGCATCCGAGAAACTTTGTTTCAGAAACAAGAAAATTTTCAACCTTTGGGTTTTCATTATGGAAAAGATCAGTGAATCTACAAGCAAAGCTGCTAATTCAATGCATCAGAGCTTGAAAATTTAAAGATCGAAAAATTTTACCGCGAAAACAGAGAAAGCGGTTGAAGAATTCCCCGGGACTCTCAAACAATCAGTCTTGATCAAGAAATAATCTTCGCCTTTCCGAGACTGAGCAGCCTGACCGTATCTCACGGTGGGTTTCTCCATCTTCTCAGTCTTCATCTCTCTGCTGATCAAAGCTGCAAGAGGCACCATGTTCTGATGATGATGATGATGGTGATGGTGATGATGATGGCGTCTCCTTCCTTCTCGAGACGCCATTATCTTTCTCAGACAACAGCTTCTTAGCCCAAGAATGACCCGAAACGCAGATTTATCAAAGACCTTGGTCTCAATATCATACCAAGGAGTTCATAACCTATGACTTCTATGGGGATATGATTTGGCGATAGATATAATCTTTTAGCTCATCATCAAGATTCTGAATCTTTGAACTAAAAAAGCAATCAGCTTTACTTAGATTCGAACTTCAAGTTAGCGACTTGATCTGCAACAACATCGATGAAGAGCATATCAGCAGCAAATCAAGTACCAAACATGACAAAGTTAGTAACTTTAATGGATAGTAAGCAGAGATGAAGCCAGAAAACGAACTTGGTGTCGGTGTTTCTATTTTCTTCCGCTTTCTCGGCAACCAAACAGAAGCAAACGAGAATTTTGCCAAAGAGAATGTCTGTGTCGAGACCCTCCTATGGGGAAGACAAGTATAGATCTGGCTCAGACACAACACATAAAAGGTAAGAAAACGAAAACAATTAAAAGAAATCGAAGGAAGAAGGAAACTTGACACGGAAAGAAAACGCGTAATGGTGACAAGAAATGAACTGTAAATACCCAATCATCCAAACCCACAAGGACAGAGAAAGAGGAAGAGAAATTATTTTTTTATAAGAAGCAAAAGAATCCGGCTTTAAAAAAACCCAGATTACAAATACAAACAAGAATCCAGGAAAAGATCGATCTTTTTCTCTAATTATGAGGAAAACTCGAGTAGGCTTCTCAACATTTTCCCCCCACCAAACACGTATATGGGTCTTTTTTCCCGGAAAATAAAATGGAAAGCTTGAAAAGAAGCATGATGCTCGGTTTGTTCAGATTTGTAATGAAGCTAAGAAAGAGGTTTTCGCTGACCAAAGGATAGAAAGCAAGCTGTCATGAAAACCCCACATTCGTGCTTCGGTTAAATGTCGGTTTCAAATATCAAACCCCGTTAATTTCCTCGGATTTTCAAACTCAAGAAGCTGTTTTGTTCTTCAGATACACGGAATAGTTCGGGAGAACGAACAATAGACGGAAAAAATTTGTGATACCGTAAGGTTGATCGGTTACCTGGGAAGTTCAGAGGAGAGGATTTTCCGGGAAAATGATGGAAACCCCAGTAGATTTTCCTTTCCGATTAAAAGGCGGTGTGAAAAAAAAAGAGGTTTTTTTCCACTCTTTCTTTTTTGTATGCTCGTGTTAAGTAGAAAAAATAAAATATATGTGTTATTGTTTTTTGTAAAATATATATATATATATATATACACACACACACATATTTTTGTAAATGAGACTTACGGCTGAATTATGTAACCTATAAAATCTCTATGAAAATTCATTGATATTACGAACTACTATTGTTTTAGATATGCATAAATCGTTCATATTCTACTTTCTTACATAAAATGCTTTTGTTTCTAATAAGTTGGTTGAATATGAATCATTCATATAAGATTTGATTATGTGAAATGTATAAATTATCAATTAAGGATACAAAGAGCAATTCGTTTTTTTTTTTTTAATCATATATATATATATATATATGTGTGTGTGTGTATATATATAGAGAGAGAGAGGTTTGGTCGTATGCAGAAACAGAGATGCCATGTTGTCTTAGATTCTCTTAACATCCACAGGCTCTACACAGTTCATCATCTTTTGGTATCACAGTGATTACGAGGAAGTCCGATATCCTTGGTGGGCCCCATTGATTTTTTTCCCCCTAAGCACCGTAATTTAATTTCTTATAAATGAATTATTTAAATCTAGGATGTTTTCCGTTTTTCACCGGCCAACAATAGGACTCGATGGACGACCTACTCTCTCTCTCTCATAACCATAATTTTTTTTTTTTGTCTTTATAACGGTGATAAAGAACGCCTGTCACTCGTCTTTGGACTCGGACACCGTTCGGCCCATATAGAACAGATAAACCAATCGAAGTTAACCGATTCAACAGAAAATTTAGATTTTAAAAAGAATCACACAACTTCGTGTAGTGAAAATTTGTCATTTTTCGATTGAGTTAGAAATTTCTCCTAACCATAGTTTCTTAAATAAATTAATTAGATACATAGATGGACAAAATATGCATAAGTTACAATTCAAGAGGCAATTAATAAGAAGTTGAAAAATCAGTCGCACATTTAGATTCAATGCAACTGTGAATCCAAGTTACTTTTGTGGGCGAATTTTAAATGTCGGAAACTGACAACCGTTTCCTCCTATATCGATTCACTTTTTTTTTGTTTTTTGTTTTATAGATCCAAATCTAAATCTATCAAGTCTAAAGAATAAAATAAAATACTTTTTTTTATCCTCATTGATATTAATGTCAAATTATATATAGGAGACTAGGAGTGCATATTTATTGTTTCGGTTTCTAGTTGGACGTTTATTTTAATTTGAAATTTTCAATTTTAACAAACCATGCACGTTTTAATATTATTTCAAAGAGGGCATCTTAATTCTATTTGCTTTTTATATTTAGTTTATATTAAAAATTATCCAGTTTACAAGAAAAACATTGTTGTATATTCAATTAATTTAATTGTTAAAACATTACATCCAAGCGATTTTTAAAACCACCATACTTTCTGGTTATAGACTTTTAAATAAAATGATTTTTTTTTGTCAGAAAATTAGGAAGCAGAGAATACAAGAGATCTCATCTAACCACAACATCTCACCAACCTTATAACATATAAATAATAAGCAGATATAATTGGATCAAAAACTCGATTAATTTGAATTATAAAAAAATTACAATTGGTGAACTGCATCTTCCATAAAATTTTTATGTCCCTAACCCCCAAATAAATTAACATATGAAACAAAGATTAAACGCCAAACACACTTATTAGTTGGATAAAGAGCGTTATTTTAGTATTCGACACATCTTGTATTTTCTACAATATTGATATAGAAAATACTAATTGAAATAAACGTTGCGCGGTCATAATACGTAAGTGAAAAACTAAATATGAAATTCAATATATATATATATATATATATATATACACACGTATATGAGTATATATATTTTAAAATAAGAAAACAATCATAGAGTGTGGAGAGAATAGTTATTGCGTTAGCAGCTCCCAGACCCGCTAATCAAGGCAGTCTTCTGCATTTACAGTCCATCCGTTCATGCACTTTCACATCAATTACTCTTTTACTTATATACATATGTTTTTAAAAACCAATTTCTATTCCAATATTTCAAACACTGATTACAAAATTTGAATTATACGGATACTTATTAGTATTATGCTTTTAAAACTTACTTTTTTTTTTAATTTCTAAATTTAATATTTCTCATGCGATTCATGTTTAGTATCTTTTATGGTTTTTATACACGAGACTTTTTTCATAATTATAAATTTGAGATGGATATGGGCTTCAGAGAGATATTTTAAAGCCCAATAAGTCTACTAATGGGCCTTACATAGGCCCACTTATTCTTTGGGCTAGGATCCAAAGATGCTTGAGGATTTCCTTAATATCTCCACTACACGAGAGAGACGCTAATTGTTACCAAAATGGAATAAAGTTCGCGTTGACATCGAAGGGAATAAAGTATTTATGAGTTTTTGAAAAAAAAATATCAAAATAATATTAGATGGAATCCATCTGATGAATAACTGAGTTCTCCGAATACAAATAGGCAAAGCTTCTCCCTTTCTTTCTCGGTTTGTGTGTTGATATAATTCTCAAGCACCGAGACGTCATCACAGCCAACACCGTAGAAATTTCCTTCTGTGGAATCATCCGATCAGGTTTCCGGTGGAAGAAAAATCAACCCTTTGTTCCTTTTTCTTCGTTGAACGCCTAAATCTCAGGCAAACCTGTTCGGGCGGCTCGGTGCTGGAGAAAGCCTTACCCATTATCCGTTTCTACGGGTTAGCTTCGACAGCGGCTTTTGGGGATTTTCCCCCTTTTTTTTTCGGGTCGGTTCAATGCCATCGACGACGAGAAGAGTATACATGCATTGAATCACGAGGGCAAGTTTATGCATTGGAGGGTTTGGGGTCGGGATTTGAAGAGGGCTATTGGGATTTCGAGATCGTAGGGTTTTGATTTTGGTGGAGATGAGTGGAAGTGGGGATTCTTCCGGTGGTTCCCTAAGCATCAGAGGTGTCATCTGCAACGCTGGTGCCGGAGCCGCCGCTGGTAAGTTCGATGAAATTTCTTCTGTTTTAGGGTTTTTCTCGCTTCGTCCGATGATTCTCTTAGGTGTTTTTTTTTTGTTTGATTATTGATTTTGGGTTGATGTGAAAATTCAGGGGCAATCGCTGCGACATTTGTTTGTCCACTGGACGTGATCAAGACAAGGTTACAGGTTCTTGGTCTTCCGGAAACTCCTGCGGGTCAAAGAGGTAAATGCTTAAAGTTCTTGGTTGAAGACAGCTTACTCTGTTTACATTAGCAGGTTTTTTCAGCTGTCTAAATGGTAATCAACTGAATAAATTCAGTTCTCTGACCTGTATTGGTGTAGTAACTATAGATTGTTTGAGACAAGGTGTGGTATTTCGAATGTAAAATCCAATTTTGATCGAAGCCGGTTCTAGAGCGATGCTTCATTGGAATTCACAGGTTCTGTTCTCTTGATGATCAGGTGGTGTTATTGTTACAAGTCTACAGAGTATAATAAAGAATGAAGGTTTTAGGGGACTGTATCGAGGGCTTTCACCAACCATAATCGCTCTCCTTCCGAATTGGGCTGTGAGTTATCGTTTCTGCTAAGTTTTGTTTCTCGAGATAAAGTTCTTCCAAAATCACCTGTTCAACACATAAAGGCCCTGTCTTGGTCATGGAGGAGATTTTTTGCTCATTGTTTCAGTTTACTGCTGGTGTTAATCTAGTCTTGGATACTGTAATGAAAATTTCTTGTTGGTTTTCCCGTTACGGGTTGATTTGCATGCAGAATTTTCTGACAATCCGACATCAATGAGATATACTTTTCTCCAACATTGGATGTTGTTTCAGTGTTCTGAGATTATGATCGTTTAGTTTTTGAATTCTTGGAATTCCTGTAGAAAGAAATTGGAGATCTTTCTGTCTTTCCTTGTTATATATAAATATTCCGGTTTCACACGCAGGTGTACTTTACGGTTTATGGGAAGCTAAAGGATCTGCTTCAGTCAAGTGGTATCATTCACCATCTTTCCATCTTTTAGTTTGTCTCTATTCTCAATGAGGAATTTGGATCTTTGTTAAATTGTCTGGTCTCTGTTATTTGTTCATATTCTCATGACAGATGGAAAACTTAGTGTTGGGGCTAACATGATAGCTGCTGCTGGTGCTGGAGCTTCCACAGCTATTGCCACTAACCCATTTTGGGTTGTCAAGACAAGGCTAATGGTAAGTCGCTTCCTTTATGACAAAACATTCAAGATACGTTGCTATGCCCATTGTATTTGATTGTCTTGTAAACAGTTGTTTTCATTTCGGTTTTGTCGAATATTATTTCCTTTTGCATTGCTTCATGTCTTGTTCTTTGTCCCAGACACAAGGGATGAGGCCGGATGTGGTCCCTTACAAAAGCATACTGTCTGCATTTAGTAGGATTTGTCATGAAGAAGGATTCCGGGGGTTGTATAGGTAAAAGCAACTCTCTGATATGTGATGTTTTAACCCTCGTGTTTCGAGCATTAGTTAAATCAGTTATGTATTCTTTTGTCTTGGAACAGCGGGATTTTGCCCTCTTTGGCGGGAATAAGTCATGTCGCTATCCAGTTTCCTGCATATGAGAAGATCAAGCAACACATGGCAAAAATAGGTAAAACATGATGATCTCTCAATCTACATGTGTTTCATGATTGTGCATATGTACTTCTGTTCCCGGAAAGCTTCTGATCATTACTTAGTTGAAATTCTCAGGTAATACTTCTGTAGATAAGCTTAGTCCTGGTGATGTAGCTATTGCCTCTTCAGTTTCTAAAGTGATCGCCTCTGTAATGACTTACCCACATGAGGTTACACTCTCTCCTTCCCTCACTCTCCATCCCTTTCACATGTTTGTATATTTTGGCCATAAATTACAGTGCTGTGTGTTATGTTACCTCTTTCAGGTTGTGAGATCCAAGCTTCAAGAACAAGGGCAATTAAGAAACCCGGCGGTCCAGTACTCGGGAGTCGTGGACTGCGTCAAGAAAGTGCTCAGGAAAGAAGGGATTCCTGGGTTTTACCGGGGATGTGCTACTAATCTGCTGAGGACAACTCCATCGGCTGTTATCACATTTACGAGCTATGAGATGATTCATCGGTTTCTTCTACGAGCGGTGCCTTCAGACAGAACACGGGCAAAGACAAGATCGGAGGAAGACACGAGAACAGAAGACGAGAGTTTAGGAAACCGGGAAGAAGGAAACAAAGATTTGGGTTTGAGAGAATCACAAACTCAATCTAATAAGATCAACACTTCCTCTATCCCCCTCGGAAACAAATAGGGTTTTATCATGTGCTCTTTGAGCTTCTTCTTCATGGGTTTCATTCTTTGTCTACCAGATATGTTAGACGTCGAGATTTTCCCCTGCGAATGATCAAAGCTGTAGTCTTTTTTCACTTTTCCCCATTCTTTTGCATGTAATGTTCGTTTTCATTGTTATGATATCAGAGACTTTGCATTATTGAAAACGATATCTCAGTTTCAGGTACTGAAACATAAAGTTTGGTTCTTTAACATCGAACCCAAGGTACACAAAGACTTGAGATTTCTGTAATGAAGAAGACAGTAAGTGTGAATATCGACGAGTTTGATATGAAACGGGAAATGGGGTTTTCATTTACTCTGGAATGGTGACAAGAACAGGTCTCCAAGCTTTTCGGAGGAGCCTTTTGCTAAACCCGAACCATGCTGCTCTGGCGGAATCCTGTCGGCTTCCCAGATTGGCGCCAATACAAGCCCCGTTCAACTTAGATGCCATGGCGGAAAGCACTTCCTCTCTTGTCAGCCCCTTCCGTCTCTCGCTTTCGGCTTCCGATTCATCATCATCTTCTTCTCCCATTGAAGGCGAAGAGACAAACAGGTCTTTCAGTGTACGCCCTGCGATGACCCTGCTGCAGTTCCCGGAGAAACCAGCCGCCGTGGAGGGCTGATGAATCGGCGGCGGGGGCTCTCGGCGGCTCGGCGATCTAAGGCTGAGAAGCATCCTTAGCGTCGTCTTCCGGCGGCGGAGCTGTACCAGTGGACTCGTCCTCGGGCTCCGTGTCGGGCTCTGTTCCACTCCGCATTGCGTGGCCAAGACCTTGAATCTCTGCAGCGTTGCCATTGCTGAGATATCCCTCTCTCTCTCTCGATCTCTCTGTGGGAAAATTCAAAGGAAGAGACTTTGGAATTTGAAAACGACGATGGAGACTGTGTGTGTGAGAGAGAGATATAGCTGCTAGGGTTTTTGCTTCCAAGGGAGGGATCCAACAAATCTCCTTTTGATTCTTTTGTTGCAGTCTCAAAAAGTGCGTGCTTTGAATGGAATTGTGGACCTTACAGCACATTTCTCGATGGAATTCCAATTTCCTCCATTGATGCTCTCTCTGCTGAAAACTTTGAAAAAGGAGAGAGGATTCCCTCCCATTTCCTCTTTCTTTTTCTCATTTCCGGCTTTTGCTTTCCACATGGCATCATCATACAATATCTTGTGAAACATCAACGTGAAAGCCATGTGTTCTGGTTTTGGATCTCCTCTGAAACTTCCATCTCCCTCTACTGTTGGAGATGTTGATAATGGTGACAATATCTTTTGATGGGTTTTGGAGCCAAATCCTCCGTTGCCATGGAATCTGTGAAAGTTCTTGTGTCAGTAGAAGGGAAGTTTTTTGCTTTCTTCAATGCGGTGAGACTGTCTACATGAAAATCTTGGGGAAAGCCCTTTCCAAAGCTTCAAGCCCTAAGTGTCTGGTGAGATTTCAGTGGAACCTGTGAGGAATGTGGACACACACATGTAAATATATATATATATTTAATATATAATGGGTTACATATCCCTATATAATTAGTTAAAAAATTAATTTTTCATAAATTTTATAATTTCAAATAATATTTTTTTTTGATAAAAAATGTGATTGAATTAATCCTAAAAGAACCGTGTACAAAAATAGTTCGAATACATCAGTCAATATATCAAAAGTATAACAGGAATCCCATACGCAAACGGGCAAAAAGTTTTATCTAGAGTTAGCTTTTTTGATACTAATATTAAAGGATTTCATTCATACCTGTAACCTCCGAACGGATCATTTATCAAATAATATTGATAAATGATCCTATTAAAATTAAGTTTATCCGTATAGTATTATTATCCCTGCATAAAAATATTTTTGGATCCGTCACTCTCTCTCTCTCTCTATATATATATGTTTATATTGATTCGTTAGATGAATAAGAGAGAATATTTTTTCGTAAATCTTACCATTATATCAGAACCGGTTCAAAATGTCTAGAAACCGGATTCGGGAACCAAACAAAACCATAGAACTGTGGGTGGGCCCGTGGTATCAGCCATGTGAATCGCGGAACGCTAAAGGGAACGCGACCCCTTTTCTTGCGTGGAAACCTCAAACGCTAACGCGAATTGGTGCATCAGCACGCAAACTCCGAACTGACAGCACGTGCCACGATCTGAGCGGTCATATAGTCATTATTGACGCGTGTAATAAACGCGACGCATCTCGCCCTGATATTTTCTCCCTTTGTAAAGATTTTTTTATTATAATATACCAGATTATATATATAAACAAAATTAATTTTGTAATGGATGCTACTACCGATGAGATTTCTCGCGAAAGACAGGGGAGCGCCAACGTGATAACAAATAATAATAATAATAATAATAATAATAATAATAAAACATTTAAACAGTCGATCTAAAATTTATTATTATTTTAATTTTTGTCCCATAAATTATTATTATTATTATTTTTAAACAATTATTATTATTATTGTTGATGATGTTTTGTCGTTGTAATTTTACGTTGACACGAATAGAATAGATCACTACTTTAAAGACGAGACGCATAATTCACATATATAGATCCAACAAGTTCTTATTGATTATTTAGAAATCCATAGATTTATGATAACCTATAGTAGAACATTGTAATAATGATTAAATATCCTATATATATTATGATTAACAATTTTTGACAGAATAAAAGCTTCAATTTTCGTCATTCTCAAATATTAAAAAAACTACATGTAATAAACATATTTTGCGTATATATATATATATATATATATATATATATATTCACAACATTCAAATGTCTGAACCGTTTCAATGTTTTAAAAATAGCTATTGTAAATATCTGGCTGTCATCAATGACCTTTTGAATTTATATGTACTTTTAAAATGCACTAAAGAGAACATCTTATCAGTTTTATTTTATTTTATATTAATATATTTTTTATAAATACGAAAAATCTTACATAGCCGCACAAATTTATTCATAAATTAATATACTAATTTTAAAGTTTTAAAATTTACGATTATTTTTTTACTTTTATTTCAACTTTTGAATAAAAAATCTCAAACCCCCCAGAAAAACTACACGTTAAAATACTTTTTAACGAAATTTCTTAACAAAAACGTTGATTTAGTAATAAAGAAAAAATGGATCAGATGACATCAGCTGTCACATATAAAAATTGATAATAAATTTTGTGTATTTACATGATATTTTCCTCTAGAATATTATATTATATTTGCTATGTTCCGATGGTATATAATGTGGTTTTGGGTGGCGCTCCACATGTAAGAGGAGCTGTTCCCCGTCTAAGTTTTCTCGCCCAACAGTCACCCTTCTCCTACCTCAAAAATCATAAAAGGGAACCCTTTTTTTTTTCCTCCCCTCCTATTTCTTCTCTGATTAAGTTTTTTTTTTTCTTCCTTCAAGATTGTTTTTTTTTTCATTTTGCTCTTTATCGCCATAGCTCACCTAGCACGAGAAGCTGTACAGTTAAGGTACCATCTCTCTCTCTCTCTCTCTCTCTCTCGATTCATCCGAAGAAAATACTGTGTTTTCAATCTTGCTTCTTTCGTTTGCGCAGATGTGGGATTTGATTTCAGTCCCCTGTTCATGTTTTCTTCCTGAAAATTTTATGGGATCCGTTGGAAAATTTTCAAATAATTCTCGAAGTACCCCCACTTTTGTTTTCTTCTGCCTTCTGCGTGTGAAAAGTTGGCATCTTTCTCGTGTGTTTGATTTCCGTTTGGTCAGATCTATACAGATTTTCCAGATCTGATGCTCAAAATCTTCAAAATATTAAATTTAATCCTTTTTTTTGGTATTCTATTGGGTTATGAACAGGTAATCTTTCATTTTCCAATTTATTTGTTCGAAGAAACAGAGAGATGAACCACCGGGTGATCCGTGACCAAGCCCAGCCCGTCATCTGTCCGAAGCCACGTCGGATTGGTCTCTTCCGTAACCCAGCCACCGTCCATGACCACTACTACCACCACCATCCTGTTCGGTCTCCCAGGTGTCACTTCAGGTACTCTCTCTCTCCGTTTCAATCCTCTGTTACTTAAAAAAAAAGTCGTTTTTTTATGATTTGGGTTGACTGATTCGTTTAATCTTTGTTGTTTCAGCCACCAAATGGAGCTATGTGAATCCAAAGAAGAGATTGATATATTGGATATGATCCTGGTAAAGTTTGGTTTTTTCTTCAAATTTTCACTTCTGGCATGTTTTTTCTCTGCTCATCTTTGGTGGGTGGGAACTGATTTGTCGAAAAGAGTGGTTGAATCCGAATTCAACTCTTAAACAAGAAGAAAATGACGGTTTCTTTTTCTAAGAACAAGAGTAATCGTGTCGGTTTCTAAATTGAAACTTAATCATAAGGCATCGATTGAGACGTCTCCTCTCAAATCCTTACAGCTCATCACCTGTGGGCCAATCCCAGACCAAACCCGTCCCGTGTTTTGAAACCAAAGCTCGGTTACATCAACGAACTACACTGCTCTTGTCAGAACCAGAACTTAACGTTAATTATGCTTTCTGTTTTGTGTGAATTCTCTCAGGATGGATTTGGTCGGGAAGTAGAAGATGAAGATGAAGCTCATACACAAGTAATAGGAGAACCCGAAGACGGCTTCTCGACGCCGCCGCCCTTTTTTTGCGGGTCGCCGCCGAGCAGAGTCGCTAATCCTTTAACAAAGGATGCTCGTTTTATAGACGACATTGGCATCACAATGATTCAGCAGCCGCCCTCCCCGAGGAAAGGCTGCATCCGCGGAAATTTCAGGAAAGTATCCGCGGATGCAGCGGCGGCGGCAGCGGTGAGGATAGAAGGGTTCGATTGCCTCGACAGGGATAGCCGAAACTGCAGCATTGCTACATTGGCTTGAAAACCCTAATCGCCCCTTTGCTAATTATATACCGAGAAATCTGAGATATACTTAAGTAGATAGTTTTACACAGTGTGAGGTATTGATGAGAAGCTGAGTTTGTTCTTCACAAGATTGAAGAATCGTTTTTTTTTTCGGTGTAAATATTTTTTTTTACTGACGGTAAGTTTGTAGTGTTTTGTCTGAAGCGTATGTAAAAAAAAAACTGTAAAAAAGGGAAAATGGGAAGATTGTAAAATATGAGGTTCATTTAAAATCTCTCTTTTTTTTTAATAATATTTTCTGCTCCAAACACTTGGAAAAAGAGGAAGCAAAGTGATTATTATCTTTAATTATATATATATATAAGAAATAAAATCTTTTAAAAAAATAAAAAAACAAAAAAGAAGGGAGAGGAAGAAGAGAGCATCTTCTCCGAAGTATGTGCCCTGAAAGCCGTCGTCAGTTATTGCAAAAAAAAAAAAAAAAAAAAA